ATTAGAATCCAGGACAATTCTGATAATGATGGGACCTTACCGTGCTTCAGACACTATGCTAAACGCGTCGGGTTCTCATTTCACTTAGTCTTTACAAGACTTCTATGAAACAAGTTTTGTTACTTTCCCATTTAACAGATAGAAAATTGAACTTCAGAGACACTAAGTACCCTGACTAGTGATACATGGCTCATCAATGGTAAAATGGAACCAGATTCCTGGTGAGTCTGACTCCAAGATTTATGTTCTTTGCCATTGTGTTTGTTTTGGGGGGGTTTTTTTGGGGGGGTCATTTAGGGGTTTGGGGTTTTTTTTTTCAATTTGCCTCCCGCATACCTTTTCTTAGGGAGCTACTGAATAATTTATTTCATCAAACAATGGCACAAGCCAAGAAAAACACAAGAAAACTTATACAGGAGATAGGTGAAAGAAAATATACTATGATGCAAACAGTGTCTTAGGAGTACAGAGCAAGTGGTTCACACAGGAGCAAATCGGGGACTCCAGGAGAATTGTCTTCGAGAAGATGAAACTGATAGAAATCGAACTTCTTGAGAAGAGATGTGGGGAAATGGCAGTAGATCTGTGTCCCCTCATCTGGGAAAGACATCTGGGATGCTGCTTCATGGTTTTTCACGGTTGGTTTATTTCTGATTTGGCTAATTTCTTTGGATTTTTTGCTGGAGTTGATCTTTTCATCAACTTCAGTTGAATGGCCTGGGCTGACGGAACTGCCTGCTCCTTCTTAGCTTCAGACACTTTGTCTTTTCATCCTTCAGACCATCACAAGCAGATTGTAGCTCTTCTTTAGTCTTTGGAAGGCTCAAAATGTGAGAAGTCTTCCGCTCCATTTCTGCTTTGTGCTTTTGCTACAAAGTAACCATACTGAAATTCCAGTTCAGCCTTGGCGCCGCCTGCTTGCTCCAACTTTTCTAAAAGATAATGGAAGGCCAATTTTCTCTCTGCCACTTCCAGTTTCATCTTTTTCATCTGGATCTCAGACTACTGTCTGTTTCCACAGTATTTCTTAAGACGTTACACTCAGCTTCCACCTGCTGTAACAGCTGAGCGAGAATCTGGCTTCTCCATTTACCAGCAGCCACCTCTTTATGCAGCAGGTCAAAAACGTGAGCGCAGGCAGGGCCCGTAGCTCAGTGGGTAGGGCACCAGCCACATACACAAAATCGAGGCTGGCGGGTTTGAACCCGACCCAGGCCTGCTAAACAACAAGGACAACAGCAAAGACAACAACAACAACAAAAAATAGCGGGATGTTGTGGCAGGTGCCTGTAGTCCCAGTACTTGAGAGGCTGAAGCAAGAGAATCGCTTAAGCCCAAGAGCTTGAGGGTGCTAAGAGCTGTGATGCCATGGCACTCTACCCAGGGTGACAGCTTGAGACTCCATCTCATAAAAAAAAGGGGGGGGTGGCATGGCCCGCCAATACTCCTTCATATTTTTCAAGCTTCCTCTTCATCAATTTCTGTGTAGTTTGTTCAGCCTGTGTCTGGGTGAGATGGGCTTGCAAAGTGTTACTAAGTTCCTCCTTCTCCTGGAGCTGTTGCTTCATCATTACAAATTTTCATCTCTGCAGAAGTCTCCTTCAACTGGGAAGCTTGCCCTGCCTGTGCCTGGGAAAGCTGGGCTTCCAACATGTTAATTACTTTCTCCTTCTTCTGGAGTTTGGAACTCATTATTTTTCTTTCCATGTGTTCCTCTGTCAAACTCTGAGAGTTGCTGCTCCCCTGACTGAGGTTCTGAAGGAAGGACAGTCTTGGCTTGTGCGTTCAGGTCTTCTATGTATTTATTCAAAAGTTACTTCGGCCTTCATATGCATTCTTAGGGTTTTTATTTTTTTATCAGAGGCTTTTCTTTCATTCTGGTAGGCTTGATCCTGCTGGCAGTTGAAGATCCTTCAATCTGATGAAACCTTACAGCTCTACTACCAACCGCTCTGCGCAAGTCGGTAGAGCACACTCTCTTGTGTTCTATTGGTAAATTAGATGCCAGATTCCTGGGCAGATTCAGGGTCCAAGGGAATCCCTCATATTTTCATATGTTACCTTCTGAAAATTCATGCTAAACAACATTTTCTAATCCTTGAGCATGGAGAGGCAGGGCAAGCTGTCAGCCCCTATCCTGTTGCCACTCACCTCCATGTGCTAAGTCACTGTGCACTCTGCCTTATTGGCAGGCAGACCTATTGACAGCAGGCCTCAGGGGAAGGGAAGGAAACTGGTGGGTGGGAAACAGGCTCCACCTCCAGCCAGCCTGTGTGTCTAGAATCTGGTCTCCCTAGTGCTTTCATTTTGTCTTTCCGTCTTTCTCATATCCTGAAGATGGAGCACCTGCCAGTCTCTGTAGGAGGCTCAGCTCCATGTCCAGGAAGTACTGAGGTGGCCCCAGCAATGATGATCTCAATGACACAGAGCTGACTATGGAACCACAAAAGGCTCTGAATATCCAAAGAAATCCTGAGAAACAGAAACATAGGTAGAAATGTCACACTCGCCAATTTCAAATTCCTGCTCTTCAAGAGGTAGCATCTGGGCTCGGCGCCTGTGGCTCAAGTGGCTAAGGCGCCAGCCACATACACCTAAGGTGGCAGGTTCGAATCCAGCCCAGACCCGCCAAACAACGATGATGGCAGCAACCAAAAAATAGCCAGGTGTTGTGGCGGGCACCTGTGGTCCCAGCTATTTGGGAGGCTGAGGCAGGAAACTCACTTGAGCCCAAGAGTTGGAGGTTGCTGTGAGCTGTGAAGCCATAGCACTCTACCCAGGGGGATGGATAGCTTGAAGCTCTGTCTCAAAAAAACAAAAAAAGAGGTAGCATCTGAAGGTGGTGGTGCCCAACTACTGGTTGAGCAGGAAGATGATCCCATCATTGTCCTTCACCTGGAAGCCCCGTGAACATTCCAGCTGGCACTCCAAGAAGGAGGACGTTTTCCCCTAGGATGGGATGGGCCTCACACCCCATGGTAGGGGCTCTCCATAAGCCCCAAATACATGTTCCAGGGCCTTCACTCCATATTTGGCCACAGTCTGCCTGGGCACGCAAGGGGCACCCACTCCTCGTGTGGATGCCATCTTTATGGTAGGAGTTAGGTGGGTGTAGCAAGTGGGTGTGGGTGCTTGTCTCCCTGCAGCCAGGCCCTGTGCCAATGGCAGGACAGACACTGGGCACTGGCAGCATGGCCTCTGCCATTGTGTTATATGGCCAAGCTTCAAGGAAAGGTTCTTAGCAGAAGTAGCATGATGGGTAGAAGAAAAAGGATTACCCTAGGGGAAGATGGACACCACCAAGAACTGCAGGCGGTGTATAAACATGAGCATAGGGGCGACTCCTTCTTGTATCAGATCTGATTGTGGTAATAAATGAGATTTGCTTACCTAAGCAAAATGGCACCCAAATCCTCTGATATCACTTAAGTGAGAGACCCCAAGTCTCATTTTCATATTCCCTAGCCTTTCCAGACAACTCTGAACTTTATACCATATTCTCCCATTACGTGAGTCCAGAGAGTGCTTGTCTAACTTGTTATCACCAGCACCTTGCATAATGCTTAGTATAGAGTGGGTGTTCAATTAGTTCGTTTACTTATTTATTTGAGAAGAAGGAAAGGGAAATTTATTACGATGCCAGCCAAGAAGGAAAAATGGCAGACTATTCGTCTCAAAATATCAGTTTACTGCCCCAAGGTTTACAATGACATATACACATGAGTACAAACCTTCCATCTAAAACATTGCCCCCATTCAGCGTGAATTTATATTTCATCTAGTTCTTCAAAGTGATACATTTTTGGTTAACTCTAGCCTTCTGGAGATAGACAAATATTTTTTTTCTTCTTCTCTTAAGCCCATTTATTTAAGGTTCCAGCTGAGATTGAGATGGACTACTTTCATAACATTTGTCTTTGTCTTCATTAAGTAAATTTACCACCATCACTTACATCATTACCAGCACCAGAAGGAAAATCCTTTCTATATAAGAACCCCAGCTTAACAAAACTTCCCCTAGAAAATAAAGTCCCCAAAAAGTTGCCCTTAATGCCCTAACAAATCAAATATAGTCATGAGGCATAGCTATTAATAGTATGTAAGTGATTCTATAAATGCAGAGAAAGCATCTTTCTATACAATGTTTCAATTCTAAATGAGGTTTCAATTCTAATGAGAGGTATTAAGGGGTGGAGAATTCCAGGATACCTGTTCCAGCTACCAGAAGCATTCTTATAATAAATTTATATAATAATATGATTTTTCCCCTGTAAAAGCACTCAAAAGCCCTAAAAGTCTAGGCATGGTGGCTCAAACCTCTAATCCCAGCACTTTGGGATACCGAGGCAGGAGAATCACTTGAGGTCCAGAGTTTGAGACTAGCCCAGCCAATACAGTAAGACTCTGTCTGTAAAAAAAAAAAAAACAAAAACAAAAAAACTGCAAAATTATCCAAGCATGGTGGCACACATCTATAGTCCCAGCTACTCAGGAGGCTGAGGCAAGAGTATCCCTAGAGCCCAGGAGCTTCAGGCTGACATCATAGCACTCGAGCATAGGGCAATAGAATGAGACTCTGTCTCAATTTAAAAAATATATTTTTTTAAGAAAAGAATGTAAGATCAGCTATAGCTGATCTTGGACAAAGTAGGTCAGGTTACCTGTCAACAAAAACATCTTGAGGAAAATCATATTTGTACTTTAAAGCATGCCAAAATGAAAACTCCATTTTTCGGGAGAAAGTCTTACTAGCCCACAAGAAACATAGTAGCCACCTTACGTGTCCAGTGAACAAAAACTGTTATTACTAGATCTCTTTTCTCCTGACCACTGACTCAGTTATTCCTGGCAACTCTCAAAAGTGAGCCAACTAGTTTCATATGCAAATTGTGTATCAAAATTGCAACCTGCATTTTGTATAAAAATGACTTAATGGTCAAGTCACACTACATTTCAAAATCAAATGGACTTTTGTTTTTTCTTATTTCTTTTTTTTTTTTTTTAATATGGAATGCTTCATGAACTTGCATGTCATCCTTGCTCAGGGACCATGCTAATCTTCTCTGTTGTTCCAATTTTAGTATATGTGCTGCGGAAGCAAGCACTGGACCTTTGTTTTTAAAGGTACATTTCTTACCTTTCTTTTCATCTCTCTGTGACATGTAATGTTGCCATTCACTTTTCCTTATAAAACTCCCTGTTCTCATGGCCTGAGTTTTACTCTTGCCTGATTTGCCTTCTACTTTTTGACACTCTGACTTTCCTATATTTTTTCTCTGCCTAAATGTTAATGTTATTCAAGCCTCTGTCTTGGGTTCTCGTTCTCATCCCTGGCTTCAGTTCTGTCATTTTCTTGCTAAAAACCCACATTTAAATTTGTAACCCTCTCTCCTAAGCTCCAGCTTCAAATATCCAACAGCCTCTGGACATCTCCACTTGAGCCACCCACAAGCTACTCAGATGTAATGGTTCAAAACTGAATTCATCATCACTTAACCATTACCTGCTCCACTGTGTTTTCTAACAATGGTAGAAAAGGTGGCACCGGACAAGCTGTGTCCAAATCAGACATGTGGCAGTCATCTAAAACTCCTTCCCTTCCTGGCCTGCACTCTAACAAATTAGCCATCTATCTGTATAACCCCTTAAGTATTTCTCATATCCACTCCCTTCTCTCATTTCCCATTGCTTCTACCCTTTTTCAGGTTTCCCCAAGTCTGATTTCTAACCTCCTTGATTATTCCAGGTAGTGCAATACCATTCATGTGTCTTTTATAAAACACTAATTCTTGATAATCATCTTACTCAAAATTATTTAATTATTCCTCATTACTCTAAGATGAATTACAAAATGTTTGCCATTGTCCGAGAGGCCTCACCTAAACTGTCCTCTGCCAAACTCTCTACCTTTGTCTCTTATCAGAATTCTTGATCTTCTCAGAAAACACCTTGCTCTTTCAGACTTCAGTTCTTTTCACAAAAAAACTGACCCTGCCTAAGATGTCTTTTGTCCCTTTTTCTGCATACTAAACTTCCACTCATCCTTATAAAATTAAACTGGTTATTAAACCACTCCTCTCTGTACCACTGTGCCAAGTACTCCAATTATAGCATATGTACCTTTATGGTTATCATTTATTTGCTTTTCTCCTCCTTTGGGTTATTCATTCCTTAAGGTCAAGGTCTATGTCCTTAATTTCCTTGTGTTCATATTCTAACTAGTGCTTGGAAGATGGTAGAGATCCAATAAATGTTCGTTGGGTAAATGGCTGGGTAGGTGGATGGATGAATGGATGGATGGACAATATTAAGTCAAACAAAATAATTAGTCTTGGATGTGGGGGGGTGTCAGTGGTAGGCCACTGGTTAGCAGGAAGGACTGGGGGGGATAATGAAATTTAAGGGTCACTCCTCATTCAAGCCATTATTGTGAATCCTGAGAATGAATCACTATACAGCAAAAAGTTAGTTTTTATCTTTGGATAAGGCTGAATAAACACCATTGAAGTTTTTCTCTGTAGACCTCATTTGTCTACTTCCAACACCTTACTCTCAAAGGAATAACATAAGCAATGAAGTGTTTCCACTTTCTATGTTAAAATCACGTTCTAGTTCTATCTCACTAAGATTATGCCCAGATCTCATTGACTGGTACTTGGGGAATTTCAAAAATCATGAGTCAAAGTTTAAAGATTATTAATGTCTTGTCCTTAGTATAGAGATGGCCCATCTCATTCATTAGACATGGATTATAACCTCTCAAGCAATCACCTAGTTCCTCAGTCAGTCAGGGTACCTCTGAGTTGCCACATTAAATTGTCTGTGGTCTGTACATATTCTTGAAGTTGAAAGACTAAGAAAGAGTTAAGAGATAAAATCAATGTTGATTCTTGGAAAATAAGAAAAGACATTTTGTGGTTCCTAAGCATAATGATTGGATTTTCACACTAATATGTGAGATGTGCCTTTCTCAAACATGTTACAACATCAGCACATTACCTATCTGATGTGGGGCAGAAACAGAAACCAAAAAGAGAAAAAAAAGAAAATGTTTTGGCACAGTATGTTTTCAATACGTGGAAGAATCGAGATACAGCAGGATGGATATATTATATGCATTCAAAATGGAAAGAGCTAGTGCTTAATAAACTAGATGCTTTGGTATAGAATCCTGGCTTTTTGTATCCTTAGCCAAGTTGTTCCATGCATCTAAGCTTCAATATACTCATCTTCAAAATAAGAGTAAGAACATGGTAATCTGGCAGAATGGTATGTGCACACCATAGTTCATTGATATGTCATCATCAGAAACTGAATAAGCACTAATGCATAAGAGCATTTTACTAGGCAGCTATTGCACATTCCCTTACTGAAAAAAAATTATATAATCTGCTTATATAAGAAAGCTGCAATGGCTCTAGTCTGATATTCTTTCAATAGCTCACAATGATAAATGTGTACAGCAATGGTTTTCCTCTATGTTAAGCTGGGGCTCCAGCTAGAGGGTTGGAATAATTATAATATATTCAGCTGACATTTATTGAATTATGCATGAGAAACTTGCTAAATGCTTTACGTACATTATCTCCTTTAATATAACACAGCCAAGGAAATAATCAACAGAACAAATAGACAACCTACAGAAGGGCGGAAAATATTTACAAGCCATACATTAATAAAGGACTAAAACCCAGAATTTACAAAAAACTTAAGCAAATCAACAAGGAAACAATAAAACCACCCCCATTAAAAAGAGGGACAAAAGACATGAATAGAAGCTTTTCAAAAGAAGATAGGCAAATGGCCAATAAACATATAAAAAAAAATTGGTCAACATAGTTAATTATCAGGGAAATACAAATTAAAACTACCATGAAAAACCACCTTATCCCAGTTAGAATGGCTTTTATTAAAAAGTCCCAAAACAATAGATATTGGCATGGATGTGGAGAGAAAGGAACACTTATATGCTGTTGGTTATACTGAAAATTAGTACAACCTCTATAGAAAATAGTAAGAATAGTTCTCAAAAAATTAAAGGTAGACCTGCCGTATTTGATCCTGCAATCTCACTACTAGGTGTTTTCTCATTTTATCGAGAAGACACATGCACACAAATGTTTACTGTAGCACAATTGACAATTGCAAAGATGTGGCATCAACCCAAATGCCCATCAATTCATGAGTGGATTAACCAAATGTGGTATATGTATACCAGGGAATCTACTCAGCCATGAAGGAGGATGATTTGATACCTTTTGCAACAATCTGGATGAACTGGAGACCATGATCCTAAGTGAAGTACCTAAAGAATGGAGAAACAAACACCACATGTACTCACTGGAACAAAGGGATGAGCATACAAGTGCATAGAGTGAGTAAAGCTCCATGGAAATAAAGCAGGGAGAAGGGGGAGGAGGGGTACAGTGAACACTATCTGGGTGATAGGCACACTTATTACCCTGACTCAAGCATTACAAAAATGAGCAATGTAACCCAAACCATTTGTACCCCCGCACATAATGCATTGAAATTTTTTTTAAATGGTCATTTTTATGTTATAGTATGTGTATTTTAGCACAATTTAAAAGACTTTTTTAAAGTGAAGCTACAAGAACCTATGAGAAGGTACTAAAATTATCTCTATGTCAGTGAAAAATAAGCTAAAGCACAGAAAGAGTGAAAGTTTGCCCAGTCACATGTCACTGTCTGACTGACTCCTGATCTTCTCACACTCACTCTCCACCACAATCTTTTTACCAAAAATCTTTCTTTTTTCCCCAAAATTTACCTCATGAGTTTAGGGAGTAGAATGATGATGAATGCCAGAGGCTGGGAATGATGAAGGGCGAGAAATAAAGAGATGGTTAATGAGTGCAAAAATACAGGTAAATTGAAGAATTAAGTTCTAGCGTTCAATAGCACAGTAGGGCGCCTATACTTAACAAGAATTTATTGTGTATTTCACAATTCCCAGAAGCTTTAAAATGTTCCAAACACACAGAGTAACGGTTTAAATGATAAACGTTTGAGGTGATATATATCCTAATTACCCTGATTTGATCATTACACGTTGTATATATGTAAAAAAATATGACATATACCCCCAAAATATGTACAATTGCCACGTATTGATAAAAAAAATTGTCTTCCATGACACCAGTCCCTGGTGCCAAAAAGATTGAAGACCACTGGAACAAGTTATAAGTGACTGATAACAATTTTGATATGTCACGTACAGAGACAAACCTAGCGGTGTTTTCATTTAACATTTTAAAAAAAATCTCATTTAGAAAGAGTTGTAGGCGTCAACTACAAACTTTTCTGTGCGTTTAGAACATTTTAAAGCTTCTGGCATTTGTGAAATACACAATAAATTCTTGTTAACTATAGTCACCCTACTGTGCTATTGAACACTAGAACTTAATCTTCTGTTTACCTGTATTTTTGTACTCATTAACCAACTTCTCTTTATTTCCCACCCTTCATCATTCTCAGCCTCTGGCATTCATCATTCTACTCCCTAAACTCCCTAAATATTGTTCAACAGCAAATCTGTCCCAGATCAATCAAGACATACTATACTTATGGCTACCTTCTTCACCTATGTCAAAGGAGAGTAATTCATACAAAAATAATAGTGGCAGATACTAGGTTCAACTGAACATGGTTTCTGAATACCTCCATTTTTTCCTATGTGTCAGGCTACATACTCTGAAAGACTCTCCTACTATAAAATAATAAATCCTAGATAAAACTGACTATCACATATATTTCTTGGCTATTTCTGAAAGCCCCAACTAACAACCGTTCCAATCTATCTTACCCTTCTCCCAAAAACATAAGTTGAAACCCAAGAAGGAATCAATGAGTAACGATCATAAGAAAAAAACAAGATTTTCTTCATTTTGATCAGTATTGTAATTAGCTGAGAGACTAAGCACCAAGAAGAGAATTTAAATCAGAGATTCCCACACTAATCCAGACACTTAGAAAGAGGTCTCATAGTTTCTCCTAGAAACTGTTGGAATCCTCTCTAGAAGAAAGCACTACCAATTTATGGCCAATTGAGAATCATATACTATCAAAACTATCTTTAAAAAAAGAAAGCAAAATAGAGACATTTCCAGATAAATAAAAGCTAGGAATCACTGCCAAGAAACTATCACTAAAGAGAATTCTAAGAGTGAGTTTCAGGCAATAAGAAAATGGTTCCCTGAAAGAAAACTAAGAGGATGAAAAGATGATGACCCAGGAAAATGGAAAACATATAGTAAATGCAAACAAACATTTTATTTATAGGAAATCCATAAATAAAGACAGTCTTTACAAAATAAATACCAAAGTAAATGCATGACAATAGTAGTACCTAAGTCAATAGGCTGAAATCTAGGCCTCTTGTACCAACCAGTTAGCCAACCCGTGAAATGTTCTTGAAGGAAACTAAAAGTGCTACTCCAGTGAATATACAAATGATAAGAAAAGTGAAACAGCTTTATTGCTGGTGTGGAGAAAGTTTTAGTGGTCTGGATAGATGATCAAACCAGCCACAACATTTCCTTATGCTAAAACCTAATCTAGAGCAGAGTTTCTAACTCTCTTTAATTCTGTGAAGACTGAGAGAGGTCAGGAAGCTACAGAAGAAAAGTTGGAAGCTAACAGAACTTGATTCATAAAGTTTAAAGAAAAAAAATCCATCTTCATAACATCAAAGTGCAAAGTAAAACACCAAGTGCTGATAAAGAAGCAAGTTATCCAGAAGATCTAGCTAAATAATTTAAGAAGGTAGCTACACTCTACAACATATTTTCAATGTAGATGAACCAGCCTTCTATTGGAAGAAGAAAGTCCTCTAACTAGTACTTTCATAGATAGAAGTCGATAGCTGGCTTCAAAACTTCCAAGGTCAGGATAACACTCTTACTAGGGACTAATGCAGCTGGTAACTCTAAACTAAGTTAAAGCCAATGCTCGTTGACCAGTCAAAAAATCCTAGTCCTGTAATAATTATGCTAAATCTATTCTATCTGTGCTTTGTTAAGTGGAATAATAAGGCTTGGATGATAGCACATCTGTTTACAGTATGGTTTACCAAATATTTTTAAGCCCATGGTTGAGACCTGCTGCTCAGAAATAAAGATTCCTTTCAAAATGTTATTACTCATTGACATTTCACCTGAGAGCTCTGATGGAGATGTACAAGGAGATGAATGTGTTGTTTTCATGCCTAGCAACACAACAGCTATTCTGATGCCCATGGATCAAGGAGTAATTTCTACTTTCAAGTCCTATTATTTAAGAAACGTATTTCATAAAGCTAAAGCTGCCATAGACAATGATTCATCTGTTTGATCTGGGTAAAGTCAATTGAAAACCTTCTAGGCAGAATTTACTATTCTGAGTGTCATTAGCGACATTAATAGGAATTTGGAATAAGTTGATATATCTCACAGATAACTTTGAAGAGTTCTCAACTTCAGTGTAGGGAGTAACTACAGATGCAGTTTCCTTGTTGTGCAGAAACTTTTTAATTGAATTAAGCTGTTGGTATGGATGCAATTAAAAAAGAATGCAGTGTTGGTGGAACTACAAACTAGTACATCAATGGGAAACAGTATAGACATTCCTCAAAGTACTAGACCTACCATTTGATCCAGCAATCCCACTATTGGGTATTTTCCAAAGTAAAGGAAGTCATTATATCAAAAGACATCTAACCCTAAATTTTTATAGCTGCACAATTCACAATTGCAAAGATATGGAATCAACCCAGTTGCCCATCAACTGATGAATGGATAAAGAAAATGTGTTACACATATATGTAGGTCATTATAAAAGCTTTGAGACAGACTATGTTATGGTTTGTTATTTCACTTTTAAAAACCATAGTTTGGTTATGGCATCGGCCATATACACCAAGGCTGGTGGGTTCAAACCTGGCCTGGGCCAGCTAAATGACAATAATAACTGCAATAACAACAACAACAAAAATAGCCAGGTGTTGTGGCA